TGACCTGAGCCGAAGGCAGAAGCCTAACTGACTGAGCCACCCAGGCACCCCAGTGTCCACAGTTTTTGATTGAACTCTCCTGGTAGTAAGAACACGTGCAGCCTGCACCACTAATATATGTGTGTTTATTGATAAATTATATATGAACTACTGAACTGATATATTACATTATAAAACACTGGGATTTTTAAGTCATTTGGGTTCCTTGATTAAGAGACAGTCTTTTCATATTCTTTGCCTATTATGCCATTAGATTTGCTATTAGGTTTTCTTCAGATTGATTGGTAAGTGTCCTTTATAAGGAATGCATTAGCATTTTGTTTTCTATAATAGTTGCAAATTTTTCTCCTGTTTTGATAGTAAAAACATTTCTTTTTTTTAAGATTTATTTATTTTATTTTATTTTTAAATGTTTTATTTATTTATTCATGAGAGTCAGAGAGAGAGAGATAGAGAGAGAGGCAGAGGCAGAGGGAAAAGCAGGCTTCCCACTGAGCAGGGAGCCCGATGCGGGGCTCGATCCCAGGACCCTGAGAACATGACCTGAGCCGAAATCAAGAGCCGGCTGCTTCACCAACAGAGCCATCCAGGCACCCCATAAAAACATTTCTTACGGGATTTTTTGCCCTGAAGAATTTTTACATTTTCCTATATACAACTGTAATTATGTTTTCCTTTAGAGTTCCTTGGTTTTGCTACTGTTCAATGCCTTCTTTGAGGCTGTATCTATAAAAAAGCTTGTGTGTGTGCGTGTACATATATATTCTGTCTCCATATTTTCCTCCAGACTTTTGCAGTTTTATTTTGAATGCCTAAAACTCATTTGGCTGGAAGTTATTTTGGTATAAAAAGTAAGCATGACTCAGCTCTGCTTTTTTTTCTAATGACAACCAGTAGGTTGTCTGAGCCTCATTATCAGTGAAGCTTCATGGCGTGCAAACTGTGCATTTTACACAGGGCCCCATGCTTCGAACACAGGCTTTTTAAAGCTTAAGGTAAAAATAAACATAAATGGAAGTTTTACTATTTTATTCCCTGAGGTTCCTGTGGTGTGAGAACCTCCTTTTGTTGTCCAGAGGCATGGCTGGGTGGCCTTTCCTTTCCCCATTCCTCATTTGTAAAACCAAATTGCTTCTTCTTCTTTTTTTTTTTTCAGATTTTTATTTATTTATTTGAGAGAGAGAGGATGAGCGAGGGGGAGGGGCAGAGGGAGAGGGAGAAGCAGACTCCCCGCTGAGCAGGGAGCCTGACGCAGGGCTTGATCCCAGGACCCGTCTGATCCCAGGACCCTGAGATCATTACCTGAGCCAAAGGCAGATGCCCAACCGACTGAGCCATCCAGGCACCCCGCTTCTTCTTCTTTTTTTTAAGTAATCTCTACACCCAACATGGGGCTTGAACTCACGACCCGGAGATCAAAAGCCGCCTGCTCCACCGACTGAGCCAGCCAGGCACGCCAAAACCAAATTGCCTCTTAACCTGTTCGACTTAGGGATGCTTTCTAGTCTGTTGGAAGCTCTGAGCTCTGACCGCAGAAGTGTACACATACGTGTACCTTGGATCTCAAGGGGCCTCCAGGAGCCCTGGGCTGGGGGTCCCTCTGCCATGATAGGAGTCCAGGAAGAGGCCTCGGGGCAGGAGTGGGGAAGGAAGAGCCAGGTTCACTGCAGACCTGGACATATGGGAGTGGATGGGAGTGTTTATATTGTGGATGAGCACGTGGGATGTGTGAGCGTTCATACACACAAGGACCCGTGTGTCCGGGGTGTGTGCACGTGTCTGCTTGCAGCTTTGCAGGTGGTGGGCAGCTCTGCAGGGTGCTGAGTGTTTCCTAGGCCCCCACCCCCACCCCCCGCAGGTCAATGCCAAGAGGTGGCTGTGCAGGCCAAGCTCATGTGGCCCACCCTGCAGATTTTCAGGCACATCCTGCAGCGGGAGTTTGCAGGGCCGTGCCAGTCACTTTCCCGAAAGTTTACTGAGTGGTGCTACGGGCCAGTCCGGGTGTCGCTGTATGATCTGGCCTCCGTGGACAGCTGGGAGGAGAACTCAGTGCTGGAGATCATTGCCTTTCATTGCAGAAGCCCGGTGAGCCCACGGGGGCGGGGGTGTGTGTAAGGGGACCCGGCAGAGCTCCCTGCAAGGTCCATAATTCAGGGCTGCCCTTGGGACCAAAGCTGCCCCGGGACTGTGCCGGTGGGGATGTGCCCACCGGGCCCATGCTCATTCCACACACCAGTCTCACCCGACCTGGGGAGCATGCCGGGGGGCCTGGGGGCAACCACTGAGGGCCCCTCTGGTGACTGACACCTGCTCTGGGCTGGAGAATGAGGCGCTCCGTCAGCCCATAGCCATGAGTGTAGGGTGGAGGCTGCGTGGGGAGGGCTCATTTGGAGTCCCCCCCCTCCATTTCCCTCAGCCCTTGCATCGAGCCTGACCTGAGCGGGCCCCATATATATCCTTGCTGAATGAATGTACCCCTAGCTCTCACATTCCCACCCCCAGCACCGACACCGAATGGTGGTTTTGGAACCGCTGAACCGACTGCTGCAGGCAAAATGGGACCTGCTAATCCCCAAATTCTTCTTCAACTTCCTGTGTTACTTGACCTACATGTTCCTCTTCACCGCTGTGGCCTACCACCAGCCGGCCCTGGAGAAGGCAAGGCCGGGCAGGGGCGCGTTCTGGGGGAGGCCTCCTGGGAACGAGCCTGGAAGAAGATAGGGCGTGGATAGCCAGACCCATCTGCAGATCCTCACGCCGAGGCTTTGAACCCGGGCAGTCTGGCGCCCGACCCCACCCTCAAAACCACGACAGTGTGCCTCTCTGATAGGCTAGAATGCGGGGGTCCTGCCCGGGAGCCCGTGTTCCTTGTGTGGCTCTGCGTGGCCTCTCCACAGCTCATGCTCAGACCGGGCCCTCGGCCAAGAGTCTCACGGTTGGAAGGGGACTCCAGGCCCCAGGTCCTACCAGAGTGTCTCTTCCGCAGGCTTTCTTGCCCCCAGAAGTGACTGCTGGAGACCCCGTGCTGCTCCTGGGCCACATCCTGGTCTTGCTTGGGGGGGTCTACCTCCTCGTGGGCCAGGTGAGGGCTCTTCCCATTCCCCCCACCCCCACCCCCAGACAACTCTATGGGCTCCCAGAACCCCCCAGAAGCAAACATAGAATCCTGCCGGGAGGGGCCTTAGAGAGAGTTAACCACAATCCCTTCATTTCTCGGGAAACCACGGAAACCGAATCCTCTACCCAGTCCCACCGCTCCCGGCCTCAGGGCAGCTGAGGGCCTTGGGTTCTGGGGCTGGTACCTCCCTGCTGCGCTTTCTGGGGGTGCCCGTGGGGTACCACGTGACTGCTGTGACTCCTCGGCAGTGCCCCCACCCCCAGGTCCCTTGGCTGGGGCATTCCTCACTTGGGGACCACAGACAGGTGGGCGGGGGCAGGCTCAGGCCGACTCCCCCAGCAGGGCCTTTTGAGGTGAAAATGCGGGAGGCAAGGCTGGGCACTGTGACACTGAGCCTCTCTCAGAGTGGGCAGGACTTCGGGACCAGATCCAGGTTGGGGGCGTGTCCATGTGAGGCCAGGGGTGGGGGAGGGGAGGGAGCTCTTCCCCTCACTAGGAGTAGTAAGCGGGTTCATCTGGATCCACGGGGAGCTCGGAGGCCCCTGGCATTGTCTGGATGTCTGTGGGTGGCTACGCTTTCTGGAAACAGGCTTCAAAGCTTTCTCAGCAGGATTCATGAGCCTCCCCACCACTCCGCCGCTGCCCCGCAAAGTCCAAGAGGCTGCTTGAGCCCCTGAGGTCGCAGAGCCAGGCCAGCAGGCAGGGGCACAGTGGGGAGCCCAGGCTAAGGCCCCACGGCCTGGAGAGCACGTTTCACACCCCTGTGCTCCTCGTCCCACAGCTGTGGTACTTTTGGAGGCGCCGTCTGTTCATCTGGATCTCCTTCGTGGACAGCTACTTTGAACTGCTCTTGTACGTGGGCCCCCCTCCCCTCCCCTGTCTCAGGCCCCGGAGAGGCTGGTGTGGCAGAAGGCACCAGGCTGGCTCGAGAGGAGAGGACCCGGAGCCAGGGAGTGCCGGGGGCCTGGGACCAAAGCGCCGGCTGTCAGGCCTGGGCCTCCCATCCCTGAGAGTTCCCTGTACTGAGCGCTCCTTGTGCACCCGATTGGGCCCGGCCCCAGACAGATGGAGACCTTCTCGTGCATCAGGCCGTGGTGGGAGAGGGCGCAGTGGTCCTCAATCTCTAACGTGGGGGGGGGCCCGCCAGGCGGCCTGCAAGCTGACCCGAATTCTGTCCCTGCACAGCCTGGTGCAGGCCCTGCTCACGGTGCTGTCCGAGGTGCTGTGCTTCCTGGCCGTGGAATGGTACCTGCCCCTGCTTGTGTCCTCGCTGGTGCTGGGCTGGCTGAACCTGCTTTACTACACACGTGGCTTGCAGCACACGGGCATCTACAGCGTCATGATCCAGAAGGTGAGAGACGAAACGGGGGTGGCCGCGGCGTAGCCTGACCAGGCAAAGCCGGGCACCACACTCCAGCAGGGCTCCCTTGGGCCTCAGCGGGCGGGCGCCCTCCTCCACAGCTGACCTGGGCAGAGGAAAACGCGAGAGCACGTCTGTCCGTGTGTCCAAAGGCAGCCGCTCGCGGACTGTAGGCAGGAGTATGAGCGTGCAGGCGTCTGCCCTCAGGGGTCTGTGCTCTGCACGGGTAAGCGAACATGTGACCCCAGGGGAGTACGTGCATCCTAGGCCAGTGGAGGCACGGACACCGTGCACATTAGCTCATCTGCCTACCCGTGCCCTGGGACGTCCGGGCGTGTGGACTCTTCTCTATTCATTTACTTATTCAACTGAAGTTTAGGAAGTGTGTCCTGCGGGCCAGGCCCTGTTCTAAGTGTTGGAATACGCTCCTTCAGTCGCTAACAAAATGGGCAAGTCCTCACCTCTGCTGCAGCCGACATTCTGGTAGGGGACGTGAAAACACTAAGAGAGACAGATGAGAACATTACAGATTGCTCTATGCTATTTTTTTTTTGAGAGAGTGAGTGAGGGGGAGGGGGCAGAGGGAGAGAGAGAAGCAGACTGGGGGCTCGATCTCACGACCCTGGGATCATGACCTGAGCTGAAATCCAGAGTCGGACGCCTAACTGACTGAGCCACCCAGGCGCCCCGATTAGATGTTTTTGTAAAGACTGTGTGTAGCTCCACGGGGCCTCATGTATGCACACATTTGTGCATGTGGGTGCCGTGTCCATGGGAACCCGTGCTCGGGGCTGAGGCAGGGGTCGGGGGTCAGGCCCGATGGCCCAGCCACCCATCCTGGCTCCTGGGTGTGTGTGTTCTAGGTCATTCTGCGGGACCTGCTCCGCTTCCTGCTCGTCTACTTAGTCTTCCTTTTCGGCTTCGCTGTAGGTAAAGTCCCCCCTCTCGCCCCTGCCTATCCCTTGCCCACTCTGTACACTCTGGAGGCTGCCCCCTGGCCTCCCCAGGCTGAGGATCCTCCTTCCTCCCCTCCCTGCAGCCCTGGTGAGCCTGAGCCGGGAAGCCCGGGCCCCCGGGGCCCCCAGGGGTCCCAATGCCACGGAGGCAGCGCAGCCTGGGGCAGGACAGACGGATGAGGAGGGCAGCTCTTCCCCATACGGTGACATCCTGGACGCTTCCCTGGAGCTGTTCAAGTTCACCATCGGCATGGGAGAACTGGCCTTCCAGGACCAGCTGCGCTTCCGCGGGGTGGTCCTGCTGTTGCTGCTGGCCTATGTGCTACTCACCTACATCCTGCTGCTCAACATGCTCATCGCCCTCATGAGCGAGACCGTCAACAGTGTTGCCACTGACAGCTGGAGCATCTGGAAGCTGCAGGTGCGGCGGGCGGCTCCCCTCCCTCTCCCTGGGCCCCGTGAGGAGCGTGCAGGACCCAGCCGAGCTGAGCCCCCGCCCCGCCCCCCATCCTTGCTTTCCTTCTTAGGGCTATCGTGACGATCGAATAAGCTCATAGATCCAGAGCCCTTGGGACAGGGCCTGGCACATAGTAGGTGCTCAATGTGTTAATCGTGATCATGCTCATGATCAAGTATTTCTTGAGAGCCTATCGCAAAGCTCGGCTCGGTTCTGGGTGCGAAACACACAGCCGAGAATGAGATAGAATCCTTGCCCTCATGCAGCTCCCCTTCTGTGTTCATCATACAGTCAGTGGGCTCGGCTTGGGGGGTGAGGCAGGATGTGCAGTCCTGGGACTGGGCCCAGCCTGGGGGCAGTCGGGGTGCAGAGGCCCCTGTAGCTGGGGGCTGATGTGACACCTGCCTACTGCTTCCGGGGTGGAGGTGGGCAGTTGGTGCTCAGAGAGCCTTGCTGGGAAGGTGGACTCTTACCGATCCACCGTTGAGCTTGGGCAAGCACCTTACTCCTCTTGAGCCTGCGCCCTCACCTGCAAGTTCAGTGCCCCACCTAATTCGCTCGTGTGCCAGTGGGCAGAGCAAATAAGCTTCTGCACCCCGTGGTGTGGAATTCTGGAATCTGTAACCATGCAAGTAATTGCTGGGCACGCATTATGTGCTGACTTCCCAACACCTGTCCATCTGCAATCGGGGAAACTGAGATTCAGGGGGAGCTGCCGGGCTTCCATCCCTCAGGCAATCAAATGTTGGAGCTAGACTCAAATCCACGTGCTTAGCAGACTCTGGGTTATACTGTCAAGTGCTGTGAGGTATCTTCCTGGCTACTGTCTGATGTGTCTTTTGTCCCCAGAAAGCCATCTCTGTCCTGGAGATGGAGAATGGCTACTGGTGGTGCAGGAGGAAGAAGCAGCGGGCTGGTGTGAAGCTGACCGTTGGCACCAGGCCAGACGGCAGCCCCGACGAGCGCTGGTGCTTCAGGTGAGGGAAGGAGGCAGGGAGGCAGGGGAGGGCGGCCTGGGGGCCTTGCTCTCCCAGTGACCCCTGGAGGCTGCCGTGGGGCAGGCCAGCCTTACTCTTCTTTTTTTTTTTTTTTTAAAGATTTTATTTATTTACTTGACCAAGAGAAAGAGAGAGAGAACAAGCAGGGGGAAAGGGAGAAGCAGACTCCCCGCTGAGCAGGGAGCCCAATGCGGGACTCGATCCCAGGACCCTGGGATCATGATCTGAGCGGAAGGCAGATGCTTAATGACGGAGCCACCCAGGCGCCCCCCTTTTTAAAATTTTTATTTAAGTAATCTGTATACCCAATGTGGTGCTCGAACTCACGACCTGGAGATCAAGTCACATGCTCTTCTGAGTCAGTCAGGCGCCCCCCCAGCCTTACTCTTTTTTTTTTTTTTTTCCAGCTTTACTCTCTTAAAAGCTGCCAAGAGTCAGGTCTGGTGGGAGAGGCAGAGCCTAGGAGCACCAGGCACGCTGCCCCGGGTGGGGGAGGTCAGGGATGCCAGATCCCATAGGCCCAGGCCTGACACTCACTGCCTGTCCCCTCCCTGGTGGCCCCTGACCTACTCCTTCTGGCCTGAAATAGGGACAGTTAGGAGGCCAAGAAGCCAGACGGACCCTCAGGTTAAGCACACTAGCCTTGCCTGGCCGGTCTGCTCTGCCCTCCCCACTCCCCCAGCCTGACACAGAGGCGATGACCCTCCCACAGAAAACAAAGCTTCCACGGGAGAGACAACCTGATAACAAATGCACACCCAGAAACACGCTGTCATGAGACAGCAGTTGAGCAAGGAGAGGGGAGGGGTCTTTGGCTTGTGCAGTAGCCACAGAAGGGCTCCGGAGCCCAGGAACATAAAGACACACCTGATCGAGACTCTTCTGTAGATGTTGAGGGCAAGCCAGGTCACTGTGCACGGCCTGAAGGGACAGATGCCTTTTCCTCCGCTGCAGACGTGGCCCAGGGGGCAGCAGGGTGATAGCCACAAGGACGGGGGGCGGGATGGTGGGTGGCCCAGTGTCCAGTGAGAAGGGTGGTGAAAGCCCATCCTCCTCCCGGTCCCTGTGGCTACCCGTGTCTACGCGGGCCCCTCTCCGGGGGCAAAGCATGCTGCACAGAGTGGCTTCCCAGAGCCTCGGAGCTGCTCTGTTGCCCTCAGGGTGGAGGAAGTGAACTGGGCCTCGTGGGAGCAGACGCTGCCGACCGTGTGTGAGGAGCCATCAGGGCCGGCTGTCCCTGGTGAGTAGCGCGGTGGCCGGAGCCCCTGCCCTGGAGAGAGAGAGAGTGTGTGTCTGGGCCAGGACCCCTCCACGTCCAAGCACTTCTCGCCTCTCCACCCCCACCTCCTCACTGGCCTGTTTCAGACTGTCACCTGGGAGACACTGAGGCTGTTGCTGCTTCCCCCAGTCCAGCCATAAACCTGACCTCACCTCCCGCCCCCTGGGCTGTGCCTGGGGACCCAGCGGGGGTTAGAGAGGGCCCCTCACCTATCCCGCAGCTGCGGGGGCATCTCCCTGAGCCCCCACTGATAGGCCAGCCTTGCTGATCCCCAGCTTTCCCGACTGCCGGAGCCCCCAGCCCCCACACCCCTGAGAAGTCACTTCCGATGCCTTTCCCCACTGTCGCGAGCTGCGTCCTGGCCATTCTAGTGTGGGGACTGCTTTTCCTGTCTCTCCCCTGCTGCCTTCCACCAATGGTCTTGGCTCCTTCCTCTCACCCAGAGGCCTGTTCCGAGGCTTAACTTTCTCCACAGCATGCCCTTTCTGGACTCTTCAGTAGCTCCCACTTCATCTGCAGTCGGCTCTCCTCTCCTTTCGCCTTCTCTTCCCAACAGACTCCACTTGCTTGTGCCTGTGGCACCGACCCCTCCCCATGACAGCCCCCGCATCACCTCTGACCCCTGTGTAGGGAGGCTCCTCCAGACTCTGGCCCCAAAGCCTGTTGGTCTCCCAGGCTCCTGGGTCCCTGACCATGGCCCTCACAAACCCATAGGTCGTCTGCCTGCCCTCTTTGTGTCTCCCTTCCCCTGAGTCCTGCCACCCCGTCATTTCTGTGCCAAGACTCTGAAAGTCACCTTGCCCATCTTGCCCCAAGCATTCCACACCCCGGTCCCATACCCACTGCCTGCTGGGCCTTCCACCTGGACATCCCCAACAGGAATGGTTGTGGGGTTGCCCTACCAGGTGGTGTGTGTGCAACCCCTCTCTCTCCTCACCCAGGCAGGAGGCCTTGAAGATCTCTGCTCAATGTCCCCCTCAGCCTGGTGCTGAGTATCTTCAGAACCTCCCAGGCGGCTACTTGCCCCTCTGCCCCCACCCCTCATTTCTCCCCCTTCTGCACACTGCAGGGCTCAGTCTGCACCCTCCTTTAGACAAGTCTTTCTGCTCCAGGCTTATCCCTCTAATGCAGACAGAAACTACATGAGGCCCATGCCGGCAAGGCCTCACTCCTCAGGGTAGAGGCGAAGCTCCAGTGCTGCATGTAGTCCGACCCATTTCCCACACCTCCCTCCATGCGACAGCCGGTCCCTCCACAGTGTTCCCTGTTCTTTGCTTTCCTTGGCTCTCTGTGGAAGTGTCATTCCTGCTCCTCTGGGTGTCCAAATCTGCTGCCTTCCTTACAGGTTGGGTTCACGCTCTCCTCAGAGCTCCCTGAACACCTACTTGTCACTTCCTTCCAGCTCTTCAGCAAGTCTCAGGTGTTCTGGTTTCTAACCCAAGGGATGGTGAGCTCCTGGGAGGAGGCCCCCAACTGGCACCAAGTCAGGGGTTCAGGAAATGCCTGTGGAAGGGGGAGGTAGGGAGAGGCGTTGCTGCGGACTTCAGGATTACCTGCGATACACAGAGTATGTGGTTTCATGGCTGTGGCCTCCTCCTGTTTGTCCTCCTGGGGACACAGCCCAAGGGCCAAGCCGCAGTGCTCTCCATCCTATTCACAGGCACCTTGAAGAATCCTGCCCCAGCTTCCCAACTAGAGGAAGGCAGTGTCTCAGAGGAAGATCAACTGCCCCTCCAGCTCCTAAAGTCCCAATAACGGCCCAGATGCAGGACAGAGTCAGGGGATCTTCCCAGCCCTACGTGCTGGCTCTGGGGCTCCAGGAAACTTTGGTGGCAAATGTAAATAAATATTTTCTCATCACTAACTCTCCTGGAAACATTGTTTAAGCAAAGTTCGTGGGCTCTTGGACTGGTTGATATCTGCGTGTCTCTTGGTGAGCATTTCTCTGTCTGGGGCTGGGCTACTCTCAGCCTCACTCAGGCACGGGAGACCCTTCCCTGCTGGCCCCCAGCCTCGGGGTGGTCCTTTTCCTGGATACTGTGCCCGCTGTCATGACAGATGTGTAGTGGTGGACACAGGCAACACAGCCACCGCTCCTCCCTCTCCCACAGCTTCCGGACACCCCTTAAAGCCACCTCCAAGATCTCTCTCAAAGCCTTTGAGCTCCCTGGCTTCCTTCAGGCTCTGGATTATTGGTTTCCTTCCCTTCTGGGCTGCCTGCTCGGTTCCTACCCTTCCGAGCTGTTCTGCAGGGCAGCCAGAGGGGCCTTCCTAAGGTGGAAGAGAAACATGTTACTCCTGCACCCTGAAGGCTTAAGAGGCTCCCCCAGCGCCCGCAGGATTCTCCAGATGGCATCCCCAGTCCTCCACGGTTTTAACCCCGAATTTCCAGACACCTCATCCCGGATACTCCTGCTGCCCCCCATGCTCTCCTTAGCACTTGTACCAAATTCTTCAGGCAGACTGATGAACCTGTGTAATCTGACCCCCTGACTTGGCTCTTGCTGGAAGCCTCCGCCCCACCATTTAAATCCTTCAAATTCTAAGACCGGAAAGTTGTCTCGCGGTAGCTTTTCCAGTTTTCTCCAGTCCAAATGAATTGCTCTCCCTTGGTGGAACGCGTGCTTATAAAATGCGTATGCACTGAATAGTTTTTAAGTGGCAGCGACCTGAGCTCGTGCAAAGGCTGAAAGGAAAGCATTTGCGGACAGGGAGAGGTTGCCATCGCCGGTGGGTTGGGGAACGGATGCAGGAGTCCTAAGGCATCAGGAGAAAAGGGGTGGAGAGGATGTAAGTGGTACCAGCTAAGACGTCTGCTCGCTCCTTAGGGGTCATCCTCAAGGGGGTGATGAGAGCTGTCAGCGCGCAGAGGTTCTGAAAGCCTCGGTGGATATTCGGAAATAGCCATGGGGAGAGAGCGGACGGGCAGCAAGAAGAATTAGATAGAAGCAGCTACTATTTTATGAATGCTCGCTGCCTGCCAAGGCTCTGCAGGGTTTCAAGTGTCGTATCTCACGTGATCCTCAGAACAACCTCTGCGGGGCCGGTAGCTTCATTTACCACACGAGCAATCGGAAGCTCACAAAGGCTGAGTAATCTGCCCCAAAACATGCAGCTAAAGGGAGACCTCGGTCGCAACGTCCCTCTAGCCCCTGCGCATGCGCCCTGAAACACTCCGGGCGCCGCGGGACCCAGAATTCCCGGGGCTATGGAAGAGACCACCGGCTCCAAAGGAGGGGGGTGTCCCGGGGTGATGCGGCGGAGTCTGCGTCGTCAAATGGGCTGGAAGTTCCCGTGAGTCTTTGCCAGTATTAACCTCCCTCCTGTGAGGAATGGAATGTTCCGACTCCTTAAAGGGCCGGGCCGCAGCTGAAGCGACCTTTCTATTATCGTGATAATGGAGGTAAGTGGTGTGTGTAGTTGGGCCTAGTAGCTGGCGGCAAGGGCGAAGGAGCTAAAGGCTTCTTAATTCCTGGGAAGAGGTTTTCGGGAAGCTTCCGTGGGGGGCGCACGGCGGCTCCCTAAAGCGCGTGTCCGGGCTTCGGGGCGGGCGCCGCCGTCGGAGAGAGTCGCGCAGGGCCGCCGGGGGCTGAGGCTCAAGGCCCCCGCGCGTGTCTGTCCGGCAGGGCCGCCGCTGTCGTCTCAGGAGCCTGAGGTCCCCGAAGGCCGGGCCCCCGCTCCCCGGACCCGGCGTGGGGGGTGCGCCAACCCCGGAGGACCGGGTGAGTGCGGCCCGGGGGGAGGTTGGGAATGGGACCGCGAGGAGGGCGTGCCCGACTGTGCTGATGATATTGGGATTAGGAAGTGCCGTCAGAAGCGATAACTGACGACTTTGATGCGTGTCTGACCGCAGTCGCCGAAGCCTCAACGGTCTGGTTGAACATCGCTGCCGCAGCCTGCCCTTAACGCGTGTCACCCTCCATGTTCCAGGTGGCAGATCCCTTGCAGCGCCTTCAAGCCGGGAGCGGCCTCCCACCCTGAGGTAGGACCCAGCCTGGGCAGGGTTTGTAACACCTAACTTTGTTTTTCAGTCTTTGTTAGTAAATGCACTGGAGTCGGCTGCTACTTTACAGTTTTATGCATTGGGCAATGCATAAAATTGCGTACATAGCATGGAGCCTCAAGTGGAAATTGGAGGCGGCTACTCCTAACCTGGAACTATTTCAGCCGCAGCTATAGCCGGAGATAAACTCCCAGTTAAAATGCAGCGTCCTGGTTGGTTCCCAAGCAATTGCGACTTAATCCCAGGTCCTGTTCCAGGTTTCTGGAGCAGTACTGGGGAGCGGGGAGGTGTTGACTGCTCTGATGAAATCACTTATAGGAAGTGCCGTCAGAAGCGATAACTGACGATAACTGTTCCTGGCTGACTGCAGTCAACAAGGCCTCCCCAGCTGCCGCCGCCCTGGAGTAGATTGGTTTGAACAGTGACCTCTTCTCGTCTATTCACCCAGGTTGCAGAAGAGTGTGGGGTCGGCAGTGTGTGATGAGATCAGCAGCAGAGCGTTCGGGGGGTGAGCACTGGCCTGCCTTGAGGTAAGCTTGATCGGTGGGACAGACTGCATAGCTGTTGTAAAGTTGTACAGAGATGATGTAAAGTTCCGGGTAGGTCGGGTAGGGGCACTTTGATCTGGTTAACCTATTAACTTGCGTCAGCGTAGCCCTTGACCTTTATCGACAGTATCCCAGAGACACTGATTATGGTTCATGGTGGCAGCGGAGCGGAGGGCAGAGGAAACCCAGGAGTTCCTTGTTACCTCACTGCTGTGAAATTCTGAGGTGTAGCTTGCCTCATCCCTGAAGATGACAGCTTTAGGTGTGTGATGTTTAAAACGATGGGATGAGGGTGCCTGGGTGGCTCGGTTGGTTAAGCGACTGCCTTCGGCTCAGGTCATCATGATCCTGGAGTCCCAGGATGAGTCCCGCATCGGGCTCCCTGCTCGGCAGGGAGTATGCTTCTCCCTCTGACCCTCCTCCCTCTCATGCTCTCTGTCTCTCATTCTCTCTCTCTCAAATAAATAAATAAAATCTTAAAAAAAATTAAAACGGGATGAAATGAGGTTGCAACACCCAGAGAAGCCAGTTAGGACATGTGGACTTAACATGGCTTCATTTACAAAAAAACACCTCCAGTAGGTTCTTGAGGGCTCCTGAGATGAACTGGAATTTGTATTTGAGGCTATCATGATCAAAACTGCTATCTTTTCTGCCTCCTCCTCTGCTGCCTATCTAGGGGTGCCTTAATTCGTTCCCCCAGGTTTTGTGTGCTGAAGTGCTCAAGAATGGTGGTCTGCGGTGTGGAGTTCTAAAGCTGGAGGCGGCAGCCCTTTAGCCTCAGAAGAGGTAAGCTTCCATCGACAAGGACCCCTCCCCCCATGGTGGAATGAATAAGCGGCTAGTATCGTTAAAATTGATTTTCAGAAAAAGGATATCAAATGATGAAATCACCCAAAATAGCTGGAATTACCGGCAGATTGTGTAGTGGTGAACGTATGGTTTTCTGAAGATAACCTTTTTATGCTGTGAATAGCTGTTGGGTGGAGTAGAAAGTGAGACTGATACTTAGTTTCTTTGCAGGCTGTTTTCCCAGAGAATGGTCAGCCATGCTGCAGCAGGGGAAGAACTTGAAGTTTCAAGGACCAGTGGTCACCATACCATCAGTTTGGACTGAAACCCTAGGCTTCAACAGTTGGTGTGGAAACAATGCTTAACTTGTGCTGAGATTCAGAGGCCATTCTCTTACCAACAGAGCCAACAAATGTGTTTGGCAAACTTGCTAGGGTATTACGCTAGGATAGGCAGTGTTGGTGTCATTGAATTCATGAGCTTTCTAGTAATGTATTATAAATACTATATTTTTTTTTAGCTCCCCTGCCCAAAGAGAGCTTCTATACCTGTAAATTTTGTATAAATTTGTTCTGTCAGGTGAGGGTCTGAGTTCTTGAAGCTGCAAATGTATTTCTTCCTGAAACTGATATTTCTGTGCAATTACCACAAACTGCAATAAAGGATGGTCTTTAGTCCTGGTTTTTAAAAATGTGTATTTGAAGAAAAAAATTTGGTCACTGCTGTCAAATAAGCAGTCCAGGTGTTAGCACTTGTCAGCTTCTCCATGGTCAGTCTAAGCTGTTTCCCCTCTGTAACAACTTTAGACTTGAGGGTAAAAGTTCCAAAGCATTTAAGGCATCCACACCTTTGATTCCAGTCTGCCTTTGGGCTGTGTCCTTGTGCACAGCCTACCTCCGGAAGCTCTGTACTACGCTCAGCCAAGCACCTGGACAGTGGCAGGCAGGGTCCCCATAGTGTGGCTCTTCACCCAGCCCGTCTTGGTGCCTTCCTGAGTTGGGCTCTCACCTACTGGTCAGTGGGCTAGAGGCTGGACAGGCCATGCTTCCCAGCTGTCTGCTGTTTGCCTGAGTGGTCTGGTCACCACTGTGGGCATCTAAATTTTCTTAGGTAAAAGAAAGGTTGGTCTCCAGTCTTCCTGGACCTGAAGCCTTTGTCTTGGTTCTAGGGCTTATTGTGCCTAGAAGGGATTTTCAGCTGGTAGGTCTTGAGTAGGGGGAAGAGAGGGTGGAAACCATTGTTCACACACTCCTTGGGAACCTCTAGTTTCTCCCCGTCTCCTAGCTGTCTTGCTGGGTGGTACTAGATCTGCTAAGAGTTGCAAGTCTAACCTCATTTTCATGGTCTCGGGTTTTTTAGGAGCCTTCCATGATAGGTTTTTGGGAGTGAGCCCGGTTACCCTTGATGACTTCTTTGGGGACTCCACCAGAAACTGAGAAAAAGGTCTTTAAAATCCTTTGAAGGGAAGTACTCTGACTTGGAACACTGCAGCCCTACCAAAGGTCTGGTAGTCTTAGCCTGGGTCGAGGGGATGGTGGGGGGTTTCTGGGTGCATGCCGTGTATGTGGGCATCCTAGGACACTTGAAGGGTAGAGGGTGGCTGGTCCCCAGGGCAGGGCCTGGAATCCCCGGTGGAAGTGTGGGCTTAAATGGAGGCTGCAACTGGGAAGTGGTTCCTCGGACCCCCCAGGGCTTCACAGGGAGGAGGTAGACCACCTAAGATGGGGACTAGGCTCTGGGAGTCTCTGGGGAGCTGGTCAGTGCCTCTAACCCAACCTCCTTCAGCCAGGTGTTAGGGTAGAAAAAAAGGATTCTATCAGGAAATACTGGGTTAGGTGTAGGGCCGAAACTACACTCCATTCCTGGGATAAGTTCTTACCCACATGAGCTCAAGCTTTCATCTTTAAACAGACCACCCACAAATCTGGGGAGGCTGAGGGCTACTGCCCCTCAAGCCACGTAGGATTTCTCAGGACCCAAAAGGCAGATGAGATTGACAAGAGGGGGAAGTGGAGAGGACTGAAGGGAAGAATTATACAGGCCCCTTCCCAGATGCTACAGTCTGGCTCCAGTGAGTGGGGCTGCCCAGGCCAATTTTGGGTGATCACCTGAGGCCCCCAGTGGGGGCCCCCTCGCCTGCCTCAGTCATCCTACCCCACCGGGACTCCCTGGTGAGGACCCCCACTTCTGTGTCATGTCTGAACTGCACCTACAGTCTCCCTGCCCTCATGGTCTTTGGCAGGATCCAGAGGGCCTCCCCCAGGGTCATCCTGGCCCACTGTGCCATCACGGGCCTCCTCCCCACTGCCCGGGCCCTCACCCAGCTCCAGGATGGTGGGTAGATGGCCCTGCTTCGGGGAGCGCTTGCGCAGGCTGAGCAGGAAGGGCTGGGGCAATGAAAAGATGTCCACATTGTTGCCCAGGTCGATCCACGTGACGTTGGGGAACTTGCTGGGGTCCTTGAGGGTGTCGGTGAGGTCACGCAGCAGGGCCCGCGTCAGCCGGTTGCCGTTGAGTGCTAGCGTGGTGAGGCGGGGCAGTGTGCTGAGCACGGGCAGCAGCTGCAGGACCATGTCATCCGTGAGGCCCGTGAAGCCCAGCTCCACGCTATCCACCTGCTCCCCGCAGCGCTGCAGGTAGCTGGTCACCCGCTCCAGGTCCCGGGAGGTCAGCGGGATGCCTGACAGGTCCACGGTGTTGTCCGGAGGGCTCCCAGCCAGGAGAGCTTTGAGGCTGCGGGGGAGAAGCGACAAGCCAGGTTTAAGCAAGTGGGGCCGGCCTTCTGGATGCAGCAGTGGCCAGCACTGAACTCTGCTCTGCGGCTCCAGGGATGGGAGAAACCAAAGATCTCTGGTCCCCGGCACCACCTCGCATCTCAGCCTGGCTGGGCCCAGCTGCCCAGAGCTTGAGGGACCACGGGAGAAAGACCCAGAGGTTTCTGCAGTGACTAAGGGTACATTCTAGGGCCGTAGTGCCTGGGTTTGCATCTTAACTCTTCTTCCTACTCGCGTGAGCTCTAATCAGTTCCCTAACTTCTCTGTGCCTCACTTACTTACCTGAACAAGGGAGCTAATTGAGTACCGCAGAATTGTTAACAAGAAATAATGGATGCAGGGCATTTAGAACAGTGCCTTGTGTACACGAGAATGATGAATGAATATTTGCTGATGACATTATGAATCATCTAGACTGAGCTTCCTGCTTTTCCCCAAGAGCAGCACAAAGTCTCTTGAGGCCTGTGTTCCAAGACAGTCTTGCCCACCAGATGGGCAATCCTTAGGGAGAGCCCTTAGGGGAGGGTGCAGGGGCTCTGAGCCTGGGGGGGGCGGTAGCTGCTGACTCCTGGAGGCTCAGGGCTCTGCACCCCCTTCCACTCCCTGCCATCTGGTACTCCTTGCTCTTCTTCCTGGTCCATGCTCTGCGGCCAGAGCTGCCCATTTCCAGGTACCCCAGACAAGCCCTGGGGTCCTAACGGTGGGAGAGAGGAAGGTAGAGGGGGCTCACAGCCTGTTTCAAGAACACAGGTTAACATTAGCAGCCCAAGGATCACGCCTTGGACTTCCTCTTGGCAAAACAACGTTAAGTCTCTATCCTCGATCTCTGAAGCTGGAAGGCTGCTTACAGCTTCCTCCTCTTGCCTCTCAGAGCGTGACCTCTAAGTGCTTGAAACATTGCGGGGCATTTGTTCAGGGTGACCTAAGGACTGGCTGTGGTCAGTGTCACTAATAAAGCAGACCCATTACACCTGGGAGATAGGTAGCGTGTGGTTAACGACCTGAGCCTGGGGTTTGAATCCAGCCCTGCCCCTTAGCAGCTGGGTGATCGTGGCCAGTCAAATGGCAACAGTAATATCCCCTACCTCATTCACTCCTTCAGCAGGGGTTTTTAAGCTCCCACTGTGTGTCAGGCACTGTCCTAGGCACTGACTAGTGTGATGGGAAGCCTCCCGAGGGGAGTGAGGCTTTTGAAATGAAGAATGGACGCAAGCCTGCAGGAGTGCTGGGGAGACAGAAGAGGAGGCTCCTGGATTCCAGCAGAGCTCACGTTTCTAGCTTTTCAACCCTAAAGAACTAGGTCACAGACTCCTCATGGCATTCCAGGTCCCACGGGTCCTCCCGCTCTGCTCTGTCCCTATGTACAGCTCCTGACTTCAGCTCAGTTGGAGCCCCATCCTTGACTCACTCTCTTCCTTCACCTGGGGACGCATTCCAGGATCCAGCTCCTCTCCTGGCTTCGGGGTGGAAGAGTCCAGAAGGGAAAGAGGAACCAGAGCTCTTGTCAGTGAGGGAGGGCAATCCTGTCCCTACCCAGTCTAGGGGAAGGACACAGGCCATTCTGCCCCATGGTCATGTACAAGAAAAGCAGGGGTGCTCCCTCCAGAAAGCCTAACGTCCTAGGCTCCCCTTTACTTGCTTCCAACGGTGCTAGCTGTCTCCGCCCACAGGTTCTGTGTCCCATGTGCCCCCAAACCCCCAATCTTCTTCAGGGGGCCATAAAAACCCTTGAGGCTTCTCACTGCTGTGTGGCCCAGGGGCATGGCTGGGGTCTGGGTCAACCTAGGAGATATCCAGGAGAAATAGGGGATCCAGTGGGAGTGCCCACATTTGGCACACCAGGAATTAGAAGGCCTCATGTCTTCCTCCCCACCCACCCCTTCTGAATGGGCCCAGACTCCCCGGTTCCCAACCCACAGACCAGGGAGGGCCCCACCGGCCCCTCCCCTCATGGCTCATGCCCACCCGGAATGCCCTCCTGGCTCCTCTCTCCACCCAACCCTGAACTCTCCTTCGATCTCACCTCCTTCAGGCACCTTCCAAGGCAACCCCCCTGGCTCTAGCTCCTCCATTCACCCCTGGGAGGGAGTGCTGTGTAGCCCAGCCTGGCATGGATTCGCTCTGGGCTGCCCTTCTAGAAGGAGGCCGGGCGGGGGCAGGGAAGATCCGGCTCAGGTGACTGAGACTCACCAGGCCTGTGGCTTCCTCTTCACCAGCCCCCGGTGCCGCCTCCACTGGGAGTGGGGGCTCAGGTGGTAGGTCAGCTGCCGGCATAGCTTCTCCATGGCGCCCAGCGCATCGCCTTCCTGCAGAGACAACCACAGGCAGGAGGCCCCTGAGTCACTGGAACGGGCCGGGGAGACCAGGTGCTCCCCTCCGGCTTCCTGTTTCCATGGGATGAGCATGGCACCCCCAGGCTGAGCTGGGGGACGTTTGCTCTGCTGGCTCCCGCTGGGCCCCCTTAGCAGAAAGCAGTTGCTTGCAAATTGATCTGCACAATGGCTCTCCCTGGTTTCTACGAATTAGTTGCTATCGTGGCAAAATTGAGATTGATCTAAAACTCTACATTCACAATCTGACAGTTGACCAGAGCTGAGTGCTGGCTGATCCCTGATCCAATATTCATCATGGTCCCTGCCTCTCCCCAGTGGCCAGGGCCGTTCTGCTCACTCGTTTGCTCAACAAAGGTTTACTGAGCACCTACTAGGTGCCAGGCAATTGTTCTAGGCAAGAAGAAGAAAGGGAAATATTTTTATGATGTCACAAGTGGGAAAATAAACAAGTGAGGAGTCCAGGTCTTTTCCAGCACAGTTCATTCATCTACTGTAATCTGTCTGGCCCATCAGCATTTTTTTAATTTATTTTTTAAAATATTTTATTCATTTGAGAGAAAGAGCATGTGAGCGAGAGAGCAGCAGAGGGAGAGGGAGAAGCAGACTCCCCACTGAGTCGGGAGCCCGATATGGGGCTCGATCCCAGGACCCTGAGATCATGACCTGAGCTGAAGGCAGCCGTTTAACCAACTGAGCCACCCAGGCGCCCCAACATTTTTTTTTTTTTTTTAATAAGCTCTACACCCAATGTGGGGCTTGAACTCATGACCCCGAGAACAAGAGTCGCATGCTCTACCGACTGAGCCAGGCGCTGCAGGCCCGTCAGCTTTTGCGTTTGAAACCCTGGGCATTATGTCCTGAATTGTGTCCCACCCAAGTTCTTAAATTTAAGTCCTCAACCCAGGTATCTCGGACTGTGACTATATGTGGAAATAGGGCCTCTCAATTCAGTTAAAATGAGGTCATTTGGGGTGGGCCCCAATCCAAAATGACTGGTGTCCTCATGAAAAGAGATTAGGTCACAGACACGCATAGAGGAAAGACCATGTGAGGACCCTGGAGAAGCCAAGGAGAGGACTCAAAAGCAACCAACCCTGCCAACACCTTGATCTTGGACTTCCAGCCTTCACAGCTATGAGAAAATAAATTTCTGTTGTTTAAGTGGTATTTTGTTATGGAGGCCCTGACAAACTTATGTTGGGTTAATGTGTGCAGCAGAGAGATGCTAGAGACACCATCTCCATCCCAAGGGAAGTCAACTCAATAGACAGTCACCAAGCCCTGGGGGAGGGGGGTGCCAAGAGCGTGTGAAGTTCAACCACAAGCTCACGTCCAGTGCCTGGCACACAGTGAGCACTCAATAAAGGTCAGCTTGACGGTTGTTACCATCATCACTCTGCTAATGGAGACTCAGCATGTTAAGTACTTAAGAGCATGGACTCGGAGACAAACCGTGTGGATATGAACCCTTGCTTTGCTACCTCCTCTGTGACCTTGGGCAAGTCACTTGACCTTCAATCCTCCTCCGTGAAGGGATAACAGAACCCAACTCACGGGGCATTTTGTGAGAATGCAATGAGTCACTATTTGCAGAGGGCTGTGACTGCAGCTCAGCTCACAGCAAGCTCTGCAGGAATGCTCACTACCTCAGTAACTAGAAGAGCAACAAAGACATGCAAAACTCTGGCAGGGTAAAGGGGATGACTCCTCCCCGCAAGGCTCACATGTGAGTTGGGGTTTTCAGGGCGGATGGGTTCGTGATTTTTGCCTGGAGAGAAGAAACAAGAGGCATCCCCGAGTGAGGAGGAAATGTGTGCAAAGGTTTGGGTGTTGGGGGTGTTACAGGAGCAGGGGACAATCTGGGGTCTGGTCACTTCTCGCCACCTCCACGGCTCTACCACGTTGGTCCAAGCCACTGTCATCTGTCACCTGGATTGCTGCACACGAACCTTACGCTGGGACTTCATGGAATTCCCACAACACCCCAGAGCTGAACTGCTTTCATTAGCCCCATTTTACAGAGGAGGAAACTGAGGCATAGAGAGCAGGGCTGGAGCTGTTGGAAAGGCAAGAGAAGAAGACCCTGAGGACGGGAGACGAGAGGGAGAAGAGGTAGGAAAAGGGGGTGTTGAGGATCCGAAGAGGTGAAGCATCTGAGCAGGGATCCAGGAGACAGAGGCTCAAGATGGAATAGAATCGGTGTAGACAGCACCTCTGGTCTCTGGTTCTCCCAGGACCTCACTTCCTCCTGCCCCAGCCTGCCTGTCTGGTAAATGTCACCTGTCGCTTCAGGCGATTACACTCGCATTCCCTGGGTTGCCGTGTTCTGATTCTAGAGCTTAGTTTCTTGCTGAGCCTCCTCTTACGGGTGTGTGAGATGGGAAGCAGGAAAAGCAGACAAGGGCTCAATGGAGGAAGAAGAGCAGGATCACGTTTGCATTTTAGGACTGTCCCTCTGACAGAGAGTGGTTCAGGGCCAGTCCCATCTGCTTTGTGTGGTTTGGGGCACCCCTGCCAGGCCTGCAGAAAGCCCCGAAAGTGATGGGGGCCCGCACACTGGACTGACAGTGCGCGGGATGGAGAGGGTGTGGGCAGGGCGGGGATAAGGAAGGATCCAGGCTTTGGGCTTGGGACCTGGGTAGAAGGCAAGGGGCTCCGGGAGAGAAGGGGATGAAAAGGCAGGACAGGGGAATGCGCGGCTCATTTGGAACCACGTGGAGTTTGAGGGGCCTAGGGACCCTTCCTGGGAGATGCAATTGGATTTATGAGGCTGGGGCTCAAGACACATTCACCAGCCTCTGATTTACCCCCTGGCCATGGAATGAGCTGACGGGGAAAGGGGAGGACACACCGGACCTGAAGGGATGGACAAGGCACAGTGTAGCCAAGGGCACCAAGGAGAAGAAGGGCTGGCGGGACTCCAGTGAGGAGGCCTTGGCCAGAAGAGGCTCAGGGAGGGGCGGTCATGGGGGGGCCCGGTGAAGGCCAACTCTGGAGGCCAAAGGGAGGATGGGAGGTGACAGCAGAGATGGCGCATTGAGAGCTTCTTCACTTGGGGCCCTTGCACCCTGGAATCACCAAGGAGCTTTTAAAAACCCTGCCTGGGCCACCCCCAGCATGGGTGGGCGTCTTGCACGCAGGGATTTTTTTTTAAAGGCTCTACGTTTGATTCCTGTGGCGCCAAGTTGGAGAAACACCAGTTCAAAAGCTTCAGAGACAAGAAGGACCGAGGGAGGGAGAGGTGGGACTGGGTGGTCGGCCCAGCTTCACTCCTGGGACCACCCAGGGGCCAGGACATCGCCACTCTCCCACGGCACCTGCTGCAACTCAGCTTCGGCTGCTCGTTCAGCCACTTCCGGGGGGCGGCGGGCGTGGGGGCGGGGGTGTCATCCTCTGGGCCTGGGCTGTGAAGAGAGAAACAAAGAGAGGAAAAGGCGGCAAAGCAGCCGCCGCAGTGCGCCGGCACTGCCACAAGGGGGCAGCTGTGTGCAGGGCGCCGCAATGGGTTGACCGCGCACGGCCGTTCCCCGCCTGGGAGACTGAGCAAGCCTGTTTCCTCACCAACAAGGACAACAGATACGGTCACCTCACAGGCGATTTGAGACGCAACGTGAGCTCGTGTCCTCACAGAGGTGAGAGCTCCCTTCTGTTCGTCTGGGCTACGTGAACAACAGCTACCGTTTACTGCGCCTCTGCTCTGTTAGGCGTCGCCCCTGCGCTTCCTGCACGAGCTCTTCACAATCCCGTAACTCGCAACGATCCTACGAAACGGGCGCTGCCATTACCCCCACTTTACAAATGAGGGAACAGAGGCACAAAGAAGCTGACTACCCTGGCAAGCCCCACAGCTTGTGAGATGGAATCAGGACGCAAAAGCCCGGCTCCGAGGCTGGCATCCTTCCCAACCTGCCATCCCGCCCTGCGCTGCCCTCCCGGGGATAAATCTTTGGCCTAGGTGGGTTCGAGGTGTTTCTATCATTTGCAAGCCCATCTAATCCCCCCCACACACACCCCCCCGCAACTCCGTGGAGTTTTCGAAGCTCCCTCCAGGTCTCCCTCCCACGGAGAAGAGGACAAAGCAGGACTGGCTCAGAGCTGGAGAAGGAGGCGGGGGGGTGGGGGGGAGGCAGGGGCTGGAAGGGGAGGGAGGCTCAAAGTGGTGAGGCCCAGCAGCCCCTTTGTGCAACCAGACCCCATGCCAAGCTGCAGCTGATTGGTCCAGAAGCGGGCACTGGCAGAGCGCAGCCAACCAGCCCTTTCCTGGCGACGAGACACACCCCCGTCCGCTCCCAGGGCTGGACGCCGCCGCCGAGTAGACTCAGAGCCCCGAGAATGGAGAGGGAGGTCCGGGGGAGCCGAGAGGAGGGATGGAGAGATGCCTGCCCTGCGTTTCTTCTGTCCTTGTGGCCCCTCCTTCCAAGCTTGGCTGCCTTTGGGCCCCATGGGGCCCCTGGGTATCAGGATAAATTCTCTTCCTAGCTTGACGCGCAACAGAACCCTCACCCACACCCGAGGCTCAAAGGCAGTTTGTGGAGTCAATTCTGCCGCTCTTCCTGCCACCCATGGAAAAGGAAGAAGGAAGGAGAGGGGCATGATGCAAGTCTGGGGTGGTTGGGCATCGCAGGGTGGAGCGAGGGGCCCGCAGCACTGGGCACCCCCCCCCCCGGCCCCGCCTCTACCCAGGGCCCTGGAGAGGACCCTGAGGGACTCTCACGGACTTATCAGGAAAGATGCTCAAGGCAGACTGCAGTCCCACAAGCACCGGGACCCTGCTCCACCTCTCACCTGTCAGATGGTGACTCCCACCTGCCATCTTGGCTTCCCCAGGCCCCTTTGTACACTTCCCCCAGACCCCAAACAAGCACAGCTCGCCACTACTGGGAGCCCAAAGGCTTCCCTCACTCATTCATAAATTCATTCATCAGATATTGACTGTCCTTCCTCCTACAAGCTGGATGCTCCTCCAGATATGGGGAGACTTGCTGGGCTTTGCCTTTACTCCCTACCCTGAGTCCATTCTCTGCTCTTCTCGGTGCCTGGAAGGCTGAACTCTATAGACAGCACCGCGGGCCCTCCTGCCCCGGCTTCCAGTTGGGCTCAGCTAATGAGAGTGATTGGAGTGAGATCCGAGGGCAGGAGGAAAGATCCTTCCCATTCTCATCCTCCCGGCTTTAGCCTGTGGTGTGGCAGCCAGCCTCCGAGACGGCCCCCACGGATCCTGGCCTCCTGTCATTGCTCCCTCCCGTAGTCTGCTGCACTGCGTCAGGGTTGATCTGGGTGATGCGTAGAATGTGGCGAGGTCATAAAAGACACTGTGGTGTCTGCCTTCCTCTTTTCTTGGATCACCTGCTCTGGGACAAGCCAGCTACCCATCGTGAGAAAAGCTCAAGCGGTCCTATGGAGAGACCCACATGGCAAGAAACTGGGGCCTCCTGTCAGCAGCCAAGGAATGGGCCAGCCACTCTCTGCCAAGCCTGTAGATCCCTGTAGCCCTGGCCACTGTCTTGAGGGACCCTAAGCTAGAACTACCTAGTCACGCTACAGAGACTGCACAGGGATAAATGTCGACTGTTTTAAGCCACCGAGTTCTGGGGTCATTTGCTACACACAATAGAAAATATAGCACGAGGGGCGCCTGGGTGGCTCAGTTGGTTAAGCGACTGCCTTCGGCTCAGGTCATGATCCTGGAGTCCCGGGATCGAGTCCCGTATCGGGCTCCCTGCTCAGCAGGGGGTCTGCTTCTCTCTCTGACCCTCCGCTCTCTCATGCTCTCTCTCTGTCTCTCTCAATAAAAAAAAAAAAAAGAAAATACAGCACGATTCTGGAAAAGGTGTTCTCGGCTCTGGTCATGGCTCCGGTCATGGCTTGTACCCATGGCCTCTTTCTGATAACAGCGTCCTACTGCTGCTAGTTTTTGGGGTGTCTCAGTATCCCCCATTGGTTTCCTTCCTCCTGCCCACAACCCTGGAAATAGTCCCATTATTAAACTCCCAAAAATTCACAATGGAATGTGCTGGCCCGCTTCCCGCCAGGGCCCTGCCTGATGCAAGATGTAACTACGAGCAAGACACATGTCATCTCCTGTCCCTTTGGCAATACTGCTGTTCGCATGGGGGAAGGCAGACAATATGCCAGCTGACAAATAAATAAGCCAGATGACTTGGGAGACCAGTGAGTGAAATGAAGCCGTCAACAGGGCACGGGCTGATGCGGGGGAGCTGTGTCAACGAGGCTGGTCACAGAAGGTTCTGGAGAGGCGACCGTGAGGCTGAGCCTGAATGGAGGAGCCGGGGAGCCCAGGCAGAGGTGGCAGCAAGGTCCCTGGAGGTAGGAGAGGACCTGGATGCTCCAGGAACCGAGAGGAGGCCCACGGGGCCAGAGCCGAGTGAGCAGAGTGGAGAGGATGAGACAGGAGATTCAGGCGGGGCCACGAACGGGGTCTGGGTTTTAGTGAAAGTATGACACCACCCCACGTGGAAGGCTTCTCAGCGAGGTACTTAGGTGATCCAATTTCCCTTGCAGATTGCTCCCTGGCTGCTCCCGGAGCACAGAGGGCCGGGAGGCATGGTGGGATGTGCGGGGCTGGCGCTGGGGCCCAGGGAAGGAAGGGGTCTCTGAACTTTCCCGCTACATGATCTGTGCTGATGGTGGGATGAGTTTTGGGTGGGGGAGGGGTGGCGAATCAGGGACACCCAGGCAGAGATGTCCAAGAGGTGGGTGACTTGAGCTGGAAGCTGGGCTGTGGATGGATCACACACAGTCATGGGAGGGATGGGGTTTTGCCTGTCCCCTCCTTCTTGGGGCACACACAGACCCACCGCCTTCTAGGGCCTAGGCCCATGTCCAGCTGGGACACAGGAGGGGACTTTGGGTAGGCTGGGACTCATTTGAGGGGGTCATCTTGCTGGTGGAGTTATTGGTCCGGTGGATGCTTCACCGAGATTGGACGAGGAAGGGCTATTTCCTTTGTCTCATGTCTCCACTGAGGGCGATGGCCCCTCATGGCTGATGGTCTTGACATCTCTGATCTGAAGTTCTCAGATGAAAGAGCTAAGAACAGGAAGTCCTGGCCAGCCCCGAGCCAGCTCAGGTTTTGGGGATGGTGCAATCAGGGGCTGTCCTTATTCCCAGCTCCGGGGCCCCAGAACCAGGACCTCCCACCCTGGCCTCAACCACAACCAGGACAGTCCTTCCAAAGGGCCTCCCCTGCCTCATGGCCTTGGGTATGGCTAAGGGGAACCAGCCAGGCTCCGGGGCCTCCGACAGGGCTGACACCCCTGGCTGGCTCTGGAAATCAGGAAATCAGAGGCCGGCCCCTCGTTCTCCAAGACTCTGAGCCCACTCCCTGCCTCAGTGTCCCACCACGGACCTGCTGGGTCTGAGCAACCTGCTTGGCCCACGGTGGGTGCTCACTGACTAGGTACAGCTTAGCGTCTGTGTATAGGGTGCTCAGCTGTGCCAGGAACATTCTCCTGAATCAGTTCACTGAACTCTCCAAAGGGCTCTCCAGGAGAGGGTATTGTCATTCACCTTTGGAGTTGAGGAAAACACAGTTCAGCTAATGAAGCGGCCTGAGAAAGCTACACCCAGGCAGGGGACCCAATGTTTGTGTCCCCCACCCCCCAACTCATAGGTCGAACCCCATCTCAGGGTGATGGTGTCTGGAGGTGGGGCGTTTAGGGGGGAAAGTAGGATTAGATGAGGTCATGAGGGTTATAAGAAGAAGCCAGAGAGCTAGCTGGCTTGCTTTCTACCATCGTGAGGCCACAACGAGAAGGTAGCCATCTGCAAACTGGGAAGAGGGCTCTCGTCAGAACTGGACCTTACTGGCTGGCACCCTGATCTTGGACTTCCAGCTTCCAGAACTGTGAGCAACACAATTCTGTTGCTTCTAAGCCACCCAGTCAGGGGTAACGTGTGGTAGCAGCCTGAGCTCAGACCCCCCAGGTACGGCCCCTGTAGTCTCCACCCAGACGGGAGGGGATGGATCTCAGCCCAGAACCCCTTGGGCCACCTGTCCTTCCCGTGTCCTGTGGTTTGGCATGGGCAGTTACCCACTTGCAGGCCCTTCCTATGTGGAGGGAGGCAGGCCCTCCTCCTCCAGCCCAGATGCAGCCCCACAAGCCCCTCCCCCGCCAAGAGCACTGGGAGCACAGGGGTCCAGCGCCCGAGCACCAGCCTGCACTCTGCCCGGAACTGGGCCCCAAATCACACCTGCGGTGTACCCGTTAGCAAATTGCTTCATTACCTGACTTTGGTCTTCTTCAACTCTAAAATGGGCATAAAAATAACATTGCTCCAATTGAGTTGCTTCGAGTGCCCTGCGATCTGTCACCCGGTCACCCGTGGGCATGTGAATTCATGTTCCAGAAAAGGCAGAGAGGTCTGGCACCTGCTAGGCCTCGGACAGACCCTGCTCGCAGCTTCCCCGGGCTGAGCCAGATAGAATCGGAATGAGAAGTGAAGGTGATTCCAGGCCCAGCTGGTTTCCTGGCGGCTCCCGGCACCAGCCCCTCTTCCCCAGGCTTTGAGGCTCCCAGTCTGCCAACCCTCATTACCCGCTTTTTCTTACCATCCCATATTTGAGCCCCACATCCCTGCCTTCTGCTGCATCCCACCACCAGCCCCAACCCACCCCCACACCTGCCCCAGACTGGCTCCCAGCCCTTCAGAGCTCGCTCCTCACCTCAGAGTCTTGGCCCCAGACAGCCCCAGGAGCCAGAGAGAAGGCCCTAGACAAAGGCCCGGATGGAGGTTCAGCTCCAGAGCAATGCTGTAGTGTCTGGCCAAGAGAAGGGTGGGGTTGACCACCACCTCCTCCCTCTTATCCTCAATCCTACTCTGGAAGCAGAAGCTTCCCTCAGGCAGTCCTGGGTCCTGCTCTGGCTTCCTGGAAGCCTTTCTTTTGGAAGCTGCTGGAAATTGAGGATGGGAGAGAAACATTCCAGAGTGGAGCTGCCCTGCCCCACACTGGCCCTCCCCTTCCCTGCCGGGCTCACGATGGACAGCTCTGGCTAAGCTGGCCCGGCACCCCGCGAGGAAGAGGGGCAGGCCCTTCCATCCAGAAGCTGGCTAAGCAGCACCTGCCCGCGGAGCTTTTCCTTCTCTGCTCTGGAAGCCAGGCAGATGTGGGCATGAGCAAAGCGTAAAATGACATTCAGCCTCAGAGAGGAAGGCCATTGGGAGTGCTGGGGACTGAGGCATCCTGGAGAGCACCAAGCGGGGTCACTGCTGGATTTACATGGCACCTTTGTGCAAATAAGAAAAAGTCCACCTCTGGATGGACACAGCCTTGTGCCAGTGCCTGTAATTTGGTGGCAGAGAGAGGGCTGGATCGGACCTGTCTCCTGCCACCTCGGCGTCTGCCTGTCTTTGTGCAGGGTGCAAGACACACAACTGTACATCGCGGTCCTGGCCCCGCATCACGGGGTGGTTACTCAGCTCCAGTGCTATAGAAATGGGGGATGCATGCTGCTGGAGCGTCCCATTGTTCGAGGGCAGCTGAATATGGAGAAATGTGTGAAACAGTCTGAGTTTTAAATGTTGGCAATGAGTCCTGATTTAATACCCCCGGGGGCCAAACACAACCTGGGCTGAGAGTGGCATGTGCAGCCCCCACCAGTGGATGCTGGGCCTTACTTAGGACAGGGCGGGCACCTCAGGCCCTACTGGCCTGTCCTCCTTGGGCCCCGGGCAGTACCGACCAGCCCTCCCTGGACACTGAGCTGCTCTGACCAGAAAGGCGCCCGCCTCACACCCCCAGAGGTGGCCGGCTCAGGCCCAGCTGCCCTACCGGCTTGGGGCAGTGGATGTAGCGGGCCAGGCTGATGATGAGGTCGTGTGTGATGGGGTCCACCAGGTTCCGGAAGCTGGCGTAGCGGTACAGAACGTCGTCCAGAGAGGTCGACTCCATGCCCAGGTCCTGCAAGAGTGAAGGACGCCCAGAGGTCAGGGGCGGCCCGGCCCTACCCTTGAGTCCCACCCAACATGCCCAGAACAGCCCCCTGGAGGTGACTTAGGGCTCCCCCCCCCCACCAACACCCTGGCCAGGGAGGAGACCCCCCTTCAAGAAGTTTTCCCAGCTGCAAGAAAGCATCTCAGAACCTCCTCCAGAGGGCCAGGAAAACTCCTGTAGAGATGGCCTTCCCAGTGCATGCATGTCTCCCAAGCCCTCCAACCTCTGGACGAAGACCTCCCCCCGCAACCCAGGACGAAGCCAAAGGTGGGCTGGTCATGGTACTTTCCACGTAGAGCAAACCTTGGAAATGGCATGCGTCGTGACCCCCCCCTGCTCTCTGATAGGGTCCTATGTACTGATACTTGTTTTTTTCATGCTTCTGAGGTCATTTTTACTGCTTCTTATGTAGATGACCCAACCTCAGTGTTCCTTTGCCTTGGAGGGAGTGGGGGTTCTGGATTGTGGGATTGAAAGGAAAAGTGGCCAGGCATCCAGAAGAAAACCCCAGGGCTCCTTTAGAAAGGATATCAAGTAGGAGGGAGGAGAGGGACTCTGGGGGAAAGGGGCCCTGGGTGGGGTGGGGGCAGAGGTTCCCCAAACCTGAGGAGGGACAAGGGTTTGGGGGGCACCACGCACTGAGAGCCCCCGCTGGGAGCCTCTGCAGACACCCTTGCCCACCAGCAAAGGACCCCACGGACTTGGCCAAGAATAGTCACCAGTGTGGATTAGGACCCACCAGTGTGGATTAGGGGCCCTGCTCCAAATGTTCTGGACTGTATAAGACCCCCAAGATTCCTGCACAACCCCAGGGAAAGAGCAGGCTCCCCAAACATGACTAAAGCTTGAATTCCCCACCAGTCAAGTTGAAACAGCATTAATCGCTTTAGAGAAGCAAAGAAACATGGTTTTCTACCCTAGAGGGTTAGAATAAACTTTATGCCCTCTAGATGTGAAAGAACATGGGTAAACACCGTGACTTTTCTCAGACACCTCTCCCCAGTTCCTGTTGTCCTTGGTGCCTTGCCCAGACCAGACCGTGATAGGAATGATGACATTCCTGCCCCCAGCCCACCCTGAGGACCAAGGGGGCCACTGAGGGTGGACAGGGAAAGCAAGGAGACCCACTTTTGCTGCCCTCACCCTCCAGACCCCTAGGCCCCCAAGCTGCATGCGGAGCTTCCCCAGAAGAGGAAGCCTCACAGGCTGGGTGGCCAGAGTCCAGCACCGTGGGGACACGAAATATGTGGCTGATGGGTGAGTTCCAGCAGGGGTTCCCTCCCTGCCATGTCGGTGGGGGATCTTGAACTTTTCCAAACACCTTCCCTGGGTGATTCTTAGAAATCCCTGTTAAGGCAAGTAGGCTGGGCATCATGATTCCCAATTTACAGATGGAGAAACTAAGGCCCAGGATTTCAGGAATGGAACGTACAACATGATGACTATAGCTAACACTGCGGTGTAGGAGATTCGAAAGATGCTAAGAGAGTACACAGCCTAAAAGTTCTCATGGCAAAGAAAAGAACATGTTTTTTTCTTTTTTTTTCTCCCCCTAAATATACGAGGTGAAGATGTTAACTTACTGTGGTCATCGTTTCATAGCGTATGTAATTTAATCATTATGCTGTGCACCTT